TATTGCGAGTCAGGATATTGTGCAGGATCGCACCTTTAACCACTGGGCTACAGGCCTGTCCCCCGCCCTTGTAATTCTTTCATCCCCTCGCTCCCTTCCCCTTCCTTTCTATGTCACGATCCTCCTGAGGTCGTGCCCCACCATACCTGGCTGTTCAGAGCAGACTGGGAATTGAACCTGGGCTCCCAGGAACCTCAGCCTGCCAAGTGGCAGCACCATCCAGCTCGTGCTACACGGCTGGGCCGTACCCACGTACCCTCTGTCGTTTCCAGAAGCGGCTCATCTAGATTCTTCCTGATTTCATTCCAGAGAGTCCGTAACCAGCAGGGTCCTGTGGAAAAGCCTTCTCTAAGAAACAGGTGTCTCTGCTGAGACATGGAGGGTGCAGGGAAGGTGGGCGGAGGGGTGCCCAGGCTCGGAGAGGTGCCGACAGGAACCCACGGCGCTAAAGGATCCTTCCGTCCTGCTTCCAAATGAAACCTCCGCCACTACTGTCGCCTCCAGCATCTCCAGGGACAGCTGCCACTGGCTGGCTGGTCCCACATTCTCTCTCACACCTTTGGACTATTCTCACTGCAGCCACCGCGGCCAGGTCGGGTCACAGCCCCCACGGATCCCCCGTCCTGCTCCAGCCTCTTGTGTTCAGGACACGACCACTCCAGGGGTCGTGCCTGCTGTCCCTCCACCTGGAACACTTCTCCCCCAGGCCTTTCCTGACTGCGCGCCCCTCCCCACTCCCTCCACACTCGTGCTCCAGCAAGGCCGCTGCGCAGTGGGAGTGCGTCCAGAGCGACCTCGCCAGGTCCCAGATGGCTTCCCCGCTTCCTTTCCTTGGTAGCGCTAGGACTACCTGGCGTGTGTGTTTACACTCACGGCTGAGCTCCTAAAGCGAGCGGTGTGCTTGGGCAGTGGAGGGTGCTCCACAAAGATTTGAGGAGCAGGTGAATGAATGAGGGAATGAGTGAACTAATGGAAAGGGCCTTGGGTGTGGGGATAGAGGGTAAGATAGGGGCATGAGACGGGTGAGGTTGTCAAGGCAGGCATAGGTTGGCCTCATGGGGGCAGGTGTAGGCAGGACTTTATGAGAGGTGGGGTTTGGGTAGGTGCAGGCAGGGCCTTGTGTGGGGTGGGGGTCAGGGCAGGTGCAGGCAGGACCTTGTGGGGAGTAAAGGTCAGGGCAGGTATGGGCAGGGCCTCATAGGGAGCAGGTTTGGGAAGGGCCACATGGGGCAGGTGCAGGCAGGACCTCATAGAGGGGTGGGAGTTGGGGCAGGTGCAGGCAGGACCTCATGGGGTGGTGGGAGTTGGGGCAGGTGTGGACAGGGCTTCATGGGGGTAGGTGCATGCAGAACCTAGTGGGGGATGGGAATTGAGGCAGGTGAGGTAGGACCTTGTGGGGAGGTGGGAGTCAGGGCAAGTGTGGACAGGGCCTCATGGGGGACAGATGTGAGACTTGGGGTTGGGTCAGCCCAGGTGGAGTCAGGGAAAGTGTAGAAGGGCCTCCAGGCCTGGAGGGAGGAGCAGCAGGTAAGAACGCCTCCTTACAGGACTGTGGCCCCACATTCAGGTCCACTAGAGCATGGTACTTATCCTCTGTGTTTCTCCACGTGGGGCATGACAGTCCCTTTGCATAGGGTCGCTCTGGGACCTAACATGCAAATCCAGGGAAAATCCTGGAACCATGGCTGCGCGGGGCCGGTGCTGTGTACATGGGTGCAAGAGGCGGTCTGATGCCTGGGACTCCTTCCCAGAGGAAGGAGCAGCAGCATTCCTGGGCTTCCAGCATGGGAGGCTGAGGCATGAGATGCAGCAGATCCTGTTCTAAGTGGACCCTATCTCCTGTCTGGGGGGCAGGCTGTCATTTATTAATAGTAGCAGAGGCTGAGAGGCAGCCATGTTCCAAATGGAGCTAAATGCAGGATTCGAGGGGTGTGGGGTGGGGTCCTGGAGGGATGGACAAGCTAGTGGCACTCTGCATGAGGTGGGGTGGGGGTGGCCCAGGAATGCTGACAGGGGCTGTCAGCAGCCTCGGGGCCTCAGAGAGGTGGGATGTGGCCAGATCCAAGCAGTAGTTGTCGGGAGGCTTCTCCGTAGGCTCTGGGTGCCCCATTGAGCCGATGGGCAAGGAGCTTGCAGTGCAGGAAAACTAACAGCAAGACAGTCTCCAGTCGTCCAGGAAGGGTACACAATAGGGGGTGAGAGGGCCCTGGGCGGGGCTGAGGTGCGTCCTGGGGCTGCGTTGGGAGAGACGGAGGAAGGTATGATCTAACCCCTAAATGGGAGCAAGAGCTTGTGGGGGGGCAAGGGCACAGGCCCTGAGGTCACAGCCAGCCTGCCATGTGGAAGAGCCAGAGCAGCCATGGTGGCTGCCAGGAGTGGCCGAGGTGAGGCCCGTGAGGCACGGGGTGTCTCAGATCATGTAGGGCCTCATGGCTGTGAAAGGGCTTGGTCTTGGGTCCATGGGAAGCCAAGACGGTTTCGCACCAAGAACTAACCCCTTGGCTTCTGTGTGGGAATGGGTAGGAGGGTTAGGAGGGGGGCAGGGGGTGGTGAGGACAAATAGTTGTCAGCAAGGAGAGACGGTGGCCTGGCCTGGTGCTGGAGATGGAGAGAGACTCCAGGGAGTGCTTTAGGAACCCAGCTGCTGCCCTGGTTACCGGACAGAGGCCAGGCCCGGCCTAGCGTCTGACCAGAGGTGAGGCCGTGGCAGTGACAGGCTAGTGAGCGAAGGACGGAACAGAGGGGAGCAGGGCTGCCCCTTGGGCGCTCGGGAGGAAGTGGGTCCTGAGCGCCTGGCCGGAGACAGCCCCTCTGAAAAGCCACTGCTTCCTCCTCTCTGAAGTGGGGACCTGGGCCACCACCGAGGGCCAGGACGACGTTAGGTGGGCACATAGAAATGGAGGATTCCCGTCAGCTGCGGTGGTCCCTGTGACGATTCAGCAGTAGTCAGGAAAGTGGTGAGTGCGCAGAGAAGGGGACAAAGGCTCCTGGCTCTCAACACCTAGGATCTCCCCAGAATTCAGCCGTGTCTGGGGCCCTACCTTACGTCACGCACCATCTCTGCTCCTGAGCTCACCAGGGCTGCTGTCGCCGGGCCGCACCCAGCAGCGCGGCGTAGCCTGAGAGCCCCTCCACTCGTGGCTCACCTTGTGGGTCTCCCTGACACTGAGGAGCTGTCCTGGGAATCTGTCTCTGTCCCTCTGACCTTGGGTTTCATTTGGGTCCTGCCTGTTCTCTCCTTGACTTTAGTTTTTTTTTGTATTTTTTGTTTTTGTTTGTTTTTTTTTAATGTCTATTTATTTATTTCACATGAATTTTGCCAGAGAAAGACAGAGAGTGAGAGAGGGAGAATTAGAAAGCAAGCTGCCAGGTCTGGGACTCGAACCACGGTCACCCATGTGGGAATTCCAGCACCTTAACCACCATGCCACTTGCCAGTCCCAACTTTAGGGGTTTTATTTTCAGCCTGTGCCACCTCTCTTTACCTAGGGGCCTGTGTGCCCTCACTCTCCTTGGGTTGAGTTTGGTTTGCTGTTACCGTGTTAAGCTTCGGGCCTGGGCTGTCCAGCCTGTACCACCTCTTGACTGTGGTTTTTCTGCCAGCCTTTGCCCTCTACCTGGCTGTAGAATGGGTTAGGATTACCTCTCCTCTGAGGGGGCCATGCTGGGACTTGGACCCAGTCTCTTTCGCCTGGGTCATTTCTGGAGCCCGTGCCCCCTCCCTCCTGCTCTGGGTTCTACCTGGCCTGTATTGCCTCGTGTGCTCTCAGTCTCAACCCCTTCCCAACTTTGTTTCAGCTCCAGGGAGTATTGAATTCTGCTTGAATTTGGTTTGGGGGGAGCCCTCCACCCCTAGCCCCTGATATTGGGGCCCAGTTGAAGCCGGGGTGGGCATCTTGGGAGCCAGGTCCCTACCCAGGATGGGGAGAGCTGTAGCAGACTTCGCACCCAACGCTCTTTACAGATGAGCAAACCGAGTCACAGATGTGACAGCCCCACCCAAGGTCCCCCAGCATCCAAGGCAGGGCCTGGCCGGGAAGCCAGGGCTCTACTCCCCCAGCGAGGCTGCCCCGCCTGCTCCTGTGCGTGCAGGAGAACGCCGCGTATACGTGTTCGGCCATGCCCCCGTGGACAGCAGTTGTGTGGGTGTGGGGCTGAGCACACGCCAGTGGTGGTACATACGTGACCGTGTGCTGCACTTGCTGTGTAGTGTACACGTGTTGGTGGGAGCAGAGGATATGCTACATGCCAGGCGTGCCCCTGCCTTGTCCATCCATGGCTGACCACTGTCCCCCTGGGTCAGAGTGAGACAGCTATTTCAGATCAGCCAGGCTCTAACCTGAACCCCTCTCTCAATTCCCACCCCACCCTTGGCCACTTTAGACCAGGACCCCTCTCAGGACCACATGCGACCTCTCCGAGGTCATCCTCAGCTGAGCTGGGTGCTGTCCTGTCTTGGGGTGCCTTTGTGCACACCCAGGTCGTGGTGACTACCAGGGGCAGGAGATGGATAGAGGTCACATCCCCGCTTGGTGGTCCCCAGCTCCTGCCTTTACTCATCCGTGCCTTTGCCGCTCTGAGACTCAGTTTCCCCGTGCATAAGATGGGGCTAACCGCGGTCCTCAGAACTGTGGGGAGGGTACAAGTTGGTCTGTATAAAATGCTGTCTTAGCGCGGAGCCCAGCATCGTGTGTGCCTAACGGGCAATGCCTGTTGTGAACCGTTAAGATGGAGTGGGGAGACAGAGGGTCCCGTCTTAGGTCAGCGTCCAGGCGTCTCGACTCCAACCTCAAGCAGTCTGGACAACACCGAGAGCTGGGCATTTTATAAGGCAGGGCCTTGATGACTAACTTGATGGGGGTGGGTGGGTTGATGGTGGAGTCCCGGAGTCAGACCGGGCTCCCGCCCTCTGTTCTGTACCTCCTCGGACACGCTGGGTGGCCCCTAACTCTGGCCTCTGTCTCCTGCGCCCTCCGCCCCGCCCTGCTTCCCCTCAGCAGAAGGCAGACCTGGCTGTGGCCGCGTTCACCATCACGGCTGAGCGGGAGAAGGTCATCGACTTCTCCAAACCCTTCATGACCCTGGGGATCAGCATCCTCTACAGAGTGCACATGGTAGGCCCCTCGGGGACGGCGGCTGAGATGGGAGGACTGCAGATGGGCAGGGGCTGGGCACGCAGCCCGGGGCAGGCGGCTCCGGCCTCACTCCCTGTCCCCCCAGGGCCGCAAGCCTGGCTACTTCTCCTTCCTGGACCCCTTCTCCCCTGCCGTGTGGCTCTTCATGCTCCTCGCCTACCTGGCCGTCAGCTGCGTCCTGTTCCTGGCCGCCAGGTGAGTGCACTGCCCGCTGCCTGGGGACGACGGTGGGAGGAGGTCTGAGCCGCGGCCTCCCTGTTCCATGCCCACTGTCCTTGGCCTCCTCTTTGGGGCTCGGGTTCCCCACATCCTCGTGTCTCCCTTTCTTGCCTCGTCTTTGTCTCACTCTTTTCCCTGGGGCTCCTACTGGGCTCTGTGTCTGCTGTTCTCCCTTTCCTCTTGCCTTAACTGTCTCTTTATTTCTGTGTGTGTGTCTGTGTGTGTGTCTGCCTCTCTCTGTTTCTCTGTCTCGTCTCTGTGCGTGTCCATCTCTCATCCTCTACTCCCCCCTTCCCTGCTGATCACGTGACTGCCTTTCCTTCCTCTGTTCCTCAT